TGCTCTCAGTGAAGCTGTTAAAATACATCTTAGAGGAAATAAAGTTGGAACTAAGTGATGTTTATCTATGGACAGATTCTATGATTGTGTTAAGCTACATCCGCAATACCACATCCCGCTTCAAAACCTACATAGCTAACAGAGTAGGGTTTATACTTGATAACACTACGCGGCCTCAATGGCGACATGTACCAACTAATATGAATCCAGCTGACCTTGCTTCCAGGGGAATAAAGATGAGTGAGTACGAGCGTATACATACCTGGCTCGATGGTCCTGAATTTCTCAAAATCCTAAAAAGGATTGGCCGAATTTCGATGGAAAAAGCGTGCCAATAATTCCATCTGACATAAAGCTAAAGCAAGCCACCATCTTAACGACACAAACAGCCGTAAATCCGATAGACACCTTATTCTCGTATTTCTCTTCTTGGACAAAACTTCGTAGAGCGGTAGCCTGGTTAAAAAGGTTTAAAGTTTTTCTACTAAAACGTCTAGTGCAAGGCCCTTTACAAACGTGTGAGATGTTAGAGGCAGAGGAAGATATCCTTAGATACGTGCAAAAACAAGAGTTCGGTAAAATCAAAGGAGTTATGTGTGAACGCTATTTGGATAGTAAATACAAGCCACTCCTTCAACGTATCAAGAAACTGCATCCTGTCATCTTAGGTGACTTGATATGTGTCGGCGGACGACTGAATAATAGTCAACTGTCAAGTTCGGAAAAACATCCAGTTATATTGCCAGGAACTCATCCTGTCACGGAGGTTATTGTTCGTTATTATCATGAGACTGAAGGACATATGGGAGTAGCCCATCTTTTGTCAGCATTGCGTATGAAATATTGGATATTGAAAGGAGCGGCAGTAGTTAAGCGTGTGGTGAATAAATGCATCGGTTGCCGAATCAGGTCTGCAAAACCTACTGAACAACTGATGGCAGAATTACCCATAGCAAGGGTCACGTCAGATTTTCCATTCTCTAGCACCGGGGTAGATTACTTCGGCCCCTTTATCGTTAGGCGGGGGCGGACTACAGACAAAAGATATGGATGCATATTCACTTGTTTGAAAACTCGAGCGGTTCACTTAGAAGTAGCTTACGCTCTTTCTATCGATTCATTCCTAATGATGCTTTCACGCTTTACCAACCGCAGGGGGACTCCAAGGGAGATATACAGTGACCGGGGTACAAACTTTGTGGGGCTGATCGTGAGTTACAGCAAGTTGTGCCACAATTAGACAGTGATTGTATGATGAGAGCTATGACAAATCGTGGTATAGAATGGAAGTTAAATCCACCTTATGCTAGCCACCGTGGCGGAGTATGGGAGAGGTTGATCAGAAGCGTACGTCGAGTGTTAAGCGCAGTTTCGAAGGAGCAAGTCCTCACAGATGAATCACTCATGACCTATTTGACAGAAGTAGAAAGGATACTAAATAGTAGGCCGCTAGTACCTGTTTATGATGACTCAAGTCAGTTGGATGTGCTGACACCAAATCATATTCTCTTATCAAGAAATCCTGAACAGGTTCCTGAAATCGACGTTAGTTTATGTGGACGTTATTCACGACGATGGAAACAAGGGCAACTCCTTGCCGATACGTTTTGGAGACGGTGGAAGCGGGAGTACTTGACGACCTTACAATCGCGTGCAAAGTGGGTTCAACGACATCGAAACTTACAAGTGGGACACCTAGTACTAGTGACTGAGGAGCCTTCACCTCGCAATCGTTGGTCAATGGGAATAATTACAGGTGTTACGGCAAGCTGTGATGGGTACATCAGAAAAGTGGATATCAAGACACCGAGGGGTATAGTCAACCGAGATGTGCGTAAGGTTTGCCTATTAGAAGGTTTTGAGGAGAGATAAGCACTTTGTAGGATATATAGCTGGATAGTGGATGCAGATGTGGCGAGAGTAAATTGTACCATTTCTGTGTCTTACTAGCAGGTAGAGTAGGGAAAACCAGGCTGGTTTTGAGGGGGCGGTGTTAATTCCTTTCCTACCTGTTCATTCCCAATCTTTCCTTTGTTCAACATTATACTACTTGCCATTAGTAAGTAGTATGATTTTATATGTTAATTTATAACAATGACATTTGCTTACAACTGCAGTTAAATTACTTGTTCTATTATCATTCTATTAATGTTGTATAGTTCTTATTTTTCTTCTCCTTAAACATTATTTGCTGCATTTACCCTATAGTTTATGCTTTACTATTGAAAGTTGTTTGTTCATATTTGTTTATTCTTTGCTTGGCATTCGCGGGCCGTTTGAACCGACACGTGGATCGACCTTGACAAAGCATTGCTGTTTTTACTTATTGACTGCACAGTGGTTGTGGATTTGACGGCACTTAGCCACGGATACCTCACAATTTGAGTACCGTATTGCAGAATATCCTGTATTGTGGACTTTACGCGTCACCCTACGTGTGGTTGAATCTATAGTTTGGATTATCGTTTCGGATTTCTTTCGGGAGAAATTCACACTCATCAGGTTTTACATTCACAGCATAATGAAATATTAGTCACAGGCATTTGATCTAATGTGGTTAATAAAATATGTAGGATCAGGGTTTAAGAATGTAAATTAATAAATGACAACTGAGGTAATCAAAATAATAATGACAGTGACGAGGAGAATTTCATTCAAGTATTTATAATAATCTAGGAAGTGGTAAGTGTATAGGTAGAATGTGCATACACTAGTGGGGGTAGAGGGGGAATTAACTATTGCCACATAGGGATTAGATAATAATAATAATAATAATAATAGTAGTAGTAATAAATTGTGAAATCGAGATTAATATGCACAACTACTGCACAGCATGATATTGATAATACAGTTAGTATTACAAATAAAAATCAAAACAACTATTAAGGTAATATTTATAGTTATCCAGTATCACCGAGGGTGAAAGTCAAAGGAGGGGGAGAGATTGAACCGAACGTTTTCTAAACACTGAGACCACTGTTGACCACTTCACCTATTTGGGAAGTTGTATTAGCACCAACGGACTGATTGGCGATGAAATCTCAGCACGGATCCGAAAAGCTCGAGTTGCTTTCGCTGACTTACACCATCTCTGGCGTAGGCGTGACATCCGGTTATCAACCAAGGGACGTGTGTACTGCTCATCAGTTCGCTCCGTCCTTGTCTATGGCTCTGAAACATGGCCAATACGAGTTGGAGACATGAAAAGGTTGACTGCTTTCGATCATAGATGTCTGCGATCTCTTTCTCACCTTAGGTGGTTTATTAAGGTAAGTAATGCTGACACTAGGCGTAGAGTGTTGGGCAAAGAGGGAAAATCAATCGACGAGGCTCTAAAGTTACATAGACTAAGATGGCTAGGTCACGTGGTGCGCATGCCTAACCATCGCCTCCCCCGACGGGTATTGCTAGCTGATATAGGTGCAGGTTGGAAAAGAGCCAGTGGTGGCCAAACAAAAACATGGCCTCATCAATCCATGAAATCCTTGACAGTTAAACTGAGTCAGGTAGGGAGGGAGATGCAGACTCCGGGTTGGGGCCCTCGGGACTGACTCTGAATCAATGGCTGGAGACAATAGGTGACATGGCTCAAAATCATTGTCAATGCCGAAGATGTATTCAGTCTCTGTAATCTTTCATATTCCTTTCTACCATTACCCATTCTGTTTCACTCTTATACTTGTTAAACTCTATTGATTCTCTTTACTCATCTTCTTGTCTACCTCTGTGTGCTATTTGGAACGTGGCAACTCGAACTGCTGCACTTCGGTGCCAGGTTCCATGTTGAATCCAGACAGACAGACAGAAACACTGCGACTGGGTTGAAAAATAATTATGGCAGCCGACAACGTACTAACCTAGGGAGTGACACTTTGTATAGGATTGTAAGAGCTGAAGTTTAGTCAGTCTTATACTCTGTATCCATTTGGTGTGCCAGTATAGGACTTTTGATTGACTTTACGACACCATAAGGTATATACGTTAGACAATGCAAAAGAAGCCAAGCAGTAGGCTTGCCGAGCCATTCTACCTATATATAACTGTCTCCACATGAACAGTTAAATTTATAAATGTACAGTGAAGTAGTTAAACTCAGTGACTTATACTTTCCCTACGTTGGAATTATACGACAGGTGGAGAATTGCAAACCAACACGTTGCGGCAAAGAATGTTTTAGCTATTATTTTTCCAAGTTTTGGTGCCAGAAATTCAGTTACTGTGTCTCCTTTAAGCGATAAAGCAATATATACGTTTCTTCTGCACCGTTCGCAGGCATTTCTTTTCTATCTGTTCTCCTCATGAAAACTTGAACAAATTTTTCCAGGTATCCGTTCTATTTTCCTGATTGAATTGTCTAGAGTGTCGACTATGGAGGTTTTTCTAGCACAAAGCATCAGGGTACTGATAAGGTTTCGTTTGTATACAAGAGGAACAAACGATCTGGAATGGGTGTATCGGCAAATCCATGACTTCTTCCGGAAAATATCCCACTTAATAGTGGTTACTGTCATTCCGGTTGTCGTTGTTTTTCTCAGTCTGACTTCGATGACTATCTATCTCAATGTGGGATGTAGAGATGATGTCAAGTGGCCAGTTGGTTGTGTAATGTCGTGTTCTGGAGATGCATGCATTCTAGTGAAGTTAGACAACAACCACAACCGCAGTAAAACTTTCTTTTAGAACAGGATCTCTTCAAATAATTTTTCTTTTATCAGAATATCACTTATATGGTAGCCTATATACATGGGGCGTAGGTCATCTAAAACAGTCCAATCACAAGCAGAACTGCCACTTGTTTATCTCGCAGCCAGGCAGGCAGGCAGGCAGGAGGGCAGGTGAAATAACGTCCAACGGACAGGCCTACACCACCTATGAATGTATACAATTGGAAAATACCTCAAAACAAGAAAATGAAAAGCAACAACCCACGTGTTCAATGGTGAATCCACAGAATTGGTTTGATTACGGTTAGAAGTTATGTAGGCGGGAACATTACCAACGCTAGAAGCACCATTAAAACCGGTGTATTATCAGTAGAAACACCGACAGATGACTAGAGAGAGAGAGAGGGAGGGAGAGAGAAAAAGGGGTTAGTTAATATAATTATAGAAAATGTGATTTGAAAAAAATTATAAGGTTGCAACGGAAAGTTTTTACAAATTTAAAGTATCGTTCACATTAATTTTTATGGTAAATACAAAACACTGTTATGAAAAGTATATTTTGACTTAGAAACTCCATATATTTATTCCCAACATGAATTTAAACAAAGCAAAAACAAAAACTGTTTGTGTAGAGTAATATTATTACAAGGCCATCATTTATTTCGTCGTCAGATGATTCTCCTCAACTGCTTACAACCTAAAAAATGATCATATAAATGTATACAACATTTTTTCATATAATTGCAAAGGAACCAACATAATTTTTGTTTAGATATGATAGAGAAGATTTGTAGATCAGATGGATGATTTTTTTTGATGTGGTTGTGTTCTCTGAGCTGGATGGTTAGTTTGCGAAGCTTTCATCACCCTACTGGGTGACATCTTCAGCGCATACTTCAATTTGAAGTGAGCTTTTAGATTTCTCCACGAGTTTATTAATCATCTCTCCTGGTGACCTTGGACGTGATTGGTTGTTTGTGTGTGTCTTCACACCATCTAGGTTACTTGTATTGGAACTGATTGTTTCTTTGACTTGAACTTTGACCGTTTGTGTGTGAGGTTTCTTTCTTATCGGTTGATACATTTTGTCTATCTCGATGTGTCTATTGATTGATGATTCACTGGAATGCCAAGCAGCCGTCTGAAAATTCTCTAGCATTCTTGTTGTTTCCTCTGTCTAATATGTCGCTGCACTCAATTCTATGTCAACCAAAAGACTCAACAGCGAAAGAAGACAAAACCAACATCATCTACAAAATAAACTGTAACAACTGCGAAAAACACTACATCGGCCAAAGTGGACGTCCCCTTCGTCTTCGTATCCATGATCATAAGCTAACCGTCAAAAGACATGATATTCACTCCCTCATATCACTACATACAGACAACCATGGACATCAATTCGACTGGGACAACGTTCAAATATTAGACAGAGGGAATAACAAGAATGCTAGATAATTTTTAGACGGCTGCTTGGCATTCCAGTGAATCATCAATCAATAGACACATCGAGATAGACAAAATTTATCAACCAATAAGAAAGAAACTTCGCACACAAAGGGTCAAGGTTCAAGTCAAAGAAACAACCGGTTCCAATACAAGTAACCTAGATGGTGTGAAAACACACAAAAACAACCAATCACGTCCAAGGTCACCAGGAGAGATGATTAATAAACTCGTGGAGAAATCTAAAAGCTCACTTCAAATTGAAGTATGCGCTGAAGATGTCACCCAGTAGGGTGATGAAAGCTTCGCAAACTAACCATCCAGCTCAGAGAACAAAACCACATCAAAATAATTTTTGTTAGCAGAAACAAACAAGTTAATAAACAATCTTTAGAAGTTCCACTTATGAAAGAGGGAAGTCAAAGGTTAAACAAAATTATTATTATTACTAATATATCCTTTAATTCCTAGAGGAACATAAGGCTTCACATCCGCGCGTCTCCATTGCCTTCAGTTTTTTTCTGCCTACTTTTTCACCCAGCTCCAAGTCTGCTCACATGCTTTCATCTCCTCTTCACATCACCTCCTCCAAGTCACCGCAGCCTCGCACTGACGACCAACTCGTCGCTTCCCTTTCGGCCAGGTTCCACTCGAGCAATGGCTTGTCTAGTGATGTCTCTTGATGGTTTCCTCAGCGTATGGCCAGCCAATCCATCTCCATTTCTTCCTGCCTATTTGTTTCACAATCCGTTCCTCCTGAGTCGGTTTGCTCCCAGAGATCCCTGTTGCTGATCTTTCCTGGCCAGCCATTTGATCTTGAGTATTGAGCGAAGACAACTGTTAATGAAGGTCTTTAGTTTGTTTGAGATGCTCTTTATGACACGGCGCCAAGTCTCTGATCCGTATGGCGAGTAGCACTGACTTCACATTGGAGTTGAAGATTCGGATCTTATTTCTGATGCTGAGTGCTGTTGATCTATCTCCTCACAGACTTAAGAGTAATGAGAGCTTGTCTTGCTTTTCCGATTCTGGCTTTGATATCCTCGTCAGTTCCGCTGGCCTGTAGTGTTGAAACGATGCCTCCCAGGTAGGCAAAGAAGGTTGTTTCTTTCAGACTCCTCCTATTCATGCTGTCTGATTGTTGTTTCTGTGGCTGTTGGTGTTGGCCAGGAATCTTCATCACCTCTGTTTTATCTATGTTCACCTGAACGGTGCCCTATCTTTGATGCTTCTTCTATCGCCAGCTTGTTGCTTTCCACTTGCATATCTTCCAGTTTGTGGGAAATCAGACATATATCATTGGCGAAGTCCAGATCCTTCAAGTCCTTTTTTGTGTGAGTTCATTTTATGCCTGTTTCCTCATCGCCGGTTGTCTGTCGCATTATCCAATCTACTGCAATCAAGAAGATCATTGGCGATAGTAGACAGCCTTTCCTCACTCCCATCCTCATCTCACAGACTCTTCATTTCATTCGATTACATAATCTCCTTGCTTTTACCCTACCCTTGTATTTTTTGCTTTAGTATATTTCAGTTCTTTTTTGTTGTTTTTACTAGTAGTACTTGAGTTAAACTCATCACACTATTTATTACTTATCATCGACTTCTCGCCTCTTGTCTTCCCTGTACAACTCAATTTTCAATGTATCTAACCATTAGCTTTACATGTTTGTATATTGTTTGAACCTTGACTTTCTCTCTAAGTTATATTGTCGTGATGTGATACAGACAATGTGTCCCAATGGAATATTGTTCATAAAGTTCATAAAGTCATCTACACGGCAAAGAGCAATTTACCTAAATCCCTACGTACCCGACTCATCTGTATCGCTGAAGCTTTGGCTATCGAAACAGAAAAGCCAGATCTCTGTGTACAGAAAAAGTTCGTTCAACCCCTCCAACTTTCATGGTCTTAATCCCTCTATGCTAAAATATGATAATCCCCAATCATATTTTAGCTCTACCAATTTTTCATTTTGTCTATTCAATTTGTATACTCTTCCTTATGAAGTCAATTGTTATTATTACTATTCTCACTTGAACTGTCCCCGGTATTATTTCACTTGTTCCACTTGTCATTCTAAATCAATTCTTTTTACAACGATAAATTCTATGCTATTAAATTTCACACAATATTACGTAACGTTTTTGTTTTATTCGATTTGCCTACTAATCCTATAATTGCACATCCTTTTTCAAGTTCTATCCCTCCTATGAATATTGTTCTCACATATTCCCACAATTCAATTCGGCATTAACAACAGTATACGATATATCTATTTGAACATTCCGACTCTCGGTGGCGTACGCCTGTAATCCAGTTACTTAGAAGCCAAGATGCGGAGTTTTGCGCGACCGGGAACTCTAGCATATGGGCGCTCATTTTGATCTAGCGCCTTTGCTTAGCGCACAGCACTAATATGGATGACCTGTCGGAGGACGAGTTGTCAAGGGTCGCACCGTCCCAGGGGGGAAGCTCAGCAAACAAAAGTCCCTCGTGGTGCGGTAGCTTGATAGCACCTGTGAATGGTGGCCATGTGACAGCCTGGTAGACGCGTGGAGACCGCCTCCTTAGACAACCTAGTGGCTCTAAAAAGAGCCAGTTTCACGTTCTTTGGCTCTCAAGTCACACATCGATGAAATTAGGCCTTCACCTTGTCGGTCTTCTTAGGTAGCAACACAGCCTGCATGTGAGGTAAGAAATAACTCTGAGCGGCGGTAACACCCCTCCCTGAAGTTTTGAACTGTGGGAATAACATTCCGACTCTAACGTCAAATAGAATGTTCCAACAGATATACCGTATTCTGTTGTTAATGCCGGACTGAACTGCGGGAATATGTGAGAATAATACTCCGTTGTCTGTATCACACCACCACAATATAAGTGGAACGTTTGAACATTGTTTATATCAAGAAGTGTGTGGCGACTTAATCTGCTGCATATCGGTGCAAAGTTCTATGTGGAAAACAGACAGACAGACAGACAGAATTCATGATATGGCGCGACCACTGGCGAATGTGATAGCCGATAGTAGTCGCACCATTTCATGAATTGGCAGAAGTTGAAATTTATCAATTATTGGGATGGGTTCCAGTGGCTTAGTGGTCTACGAGCTCGCCTTGTAACCAGGAGGTCCTGGGTGCAAGCTTCGTAGGGTGTGTACCGTTGAAGAGTCCCAAACTAGGACGAAATAGCTGCTCAGTACTCTCAGGTTTTCCAATAGTCCTCTATCCGATGTTAGTTCATGATGAAATCCTGAAATTATTATTATTACTAATCGTACTTATCATCATCATCGGCAATTGAAAAATGAATAAAGACAACTATTCATTCATGTTTCGTATAACCAATGGTCATAATTAAGTAAAAATTATGAATGATAAATTTCATTTTATTTTTCAATTAATTGTCATCTTGATTTCAGTGTCTCTTTTCTATTCATTGAATCAATAACTGATCGACCAATTAATTGGTATACATCATCGGATCATTTTTTTTTGAAATCTAAATACGGTACAATCATAGATAAAGACTGGCACATTGAAACGAATTATTTCTTTGTGAAGCTCTTTTCCAACCTCATTGGTCCTATGTCAGCTGACATTCCTGATAGGATCCCACATATTTTGGTATTGACTGTTTAAACTTGCATTTATGGTATGTTATCATTCTCACGCATTTTGGTAGTGACTGCTAGTTTTGTATATTATCATTCTCACGCATTTTGGTAGTGACTGCTAATTTTGTATATATGGTATATCATTCCCACACATTTTGTTACTGACTGTCAATGTCGCACATATGGCATATTATGATTTCTCACACACTTTGTTATTGGCTATTAAGGTCAATTATTTCAAATGCTGTAGCTGTCCATATTGTTGTAAAATGTATAAATACCATGGCTTTCTTTATCGTTGTTGCACTTCAATACACAGTCAC